AATCCGAAACCTCAAAGAATAAAAATAATTCTTTTACCACCGAGGCCGCTTGGTTCGTGCATAATAAATTAAGAGATTATAATAAATTATAAAAATATGAATGGACCAACATACTAAAATACAATTTAAGATAAACCATGTGTTTAGTACTTAAACTATCAATTTTGTCTCGTTTTAGTAACTAAACTTTCATTTTTTAAAACCATATCTGACAGTTAGTCAGAGCCGTCTTAGATATTTTTGGGGCCGTGAGCGAAAACTCAAGAATATGCCTTTATAAAAATGAAAGTATATTTCATTATTTATTATTTTATTAATAGAAAACCTTAAATACAACTAAAAGAGAATAAATAAAAAAGTTAATGCATGTATGATAAATAGCTTGATTTTGAATAATAAATAAATAAATAAAAAGAATTTTATATTATTTTATTGTTAGATTGAGATTGTATAAGACTAAAAATTAAAGAATATTTGATAAATTGAAGAGTAAGATTCAAAAAAAAAAAGAGAGAAAAACATCATTAAATTTATTTCAAAATGGAATGAATAAATGAGAAAAATGAAAAAAAAAGGGTCAAGAGCTAAACAATTTATGAAATTATAAAATTTAGAGGCCATAACTATAAATATAAAAAGTTGGTTAAATTTAATTCAAAATTGAATAAATTAATAAGAGAAATGGAAAGAGAGTATCAAAAACTAAAAAATTTATGAAATTATAAAAATTAGGGGTTCTAATTATAAATATAAAAAATTAAGGGCTCTAATTATAAATACAAAAAACTGAGGACATGAGTTGCTCAGAGTGCTCCCCCCTTAGAGCCGACCTTGCATTAGTTTTTGTTTCATTTTAGTATCTCGCCATTAAAAACTTAACGGACGGACTGACGTGGCATATCTCTAGTGGATGAATGACAAATTCAATTGGTGAACCACGAGAGAATGACAAGTCGACCAACATATTTCATTTTCAATCCCATCAAACAATGGACCATAGTGAACAAATGATGAAGAATTGAAGAGTACATCGTCGATTTGGGATATTGAGGTGTTTTCTAGTGAAACGGATGTCGAAATCACGTTCAGAGGGTCAAAAGGTGTAGGCTAGAAAGTTTGGGTTTCATCGACCAACGAATATGACGATCGAGATTATAGACACAGCGACCAGCGAGCCCGTCCGTTAAGTTTTTAATGGCGGGGTATTAAAATGCAAAAAAAAATTAAATGTTAAGTATAATTTTTGAAAAAAATAAAAATTTAAATACTAAAATTGATTATTTAGATACTAAACACTTAATTTACCCTATAATTTAATATCAAGATGAAAAATAGAGAATGTGACAAAATTTATATATCATAAACTATTGATATTTGGTGCGTTTGGAAAGTTATCGTGTATAAATTTTAGTATAATTGGATGTAGTTAAGAATGATATATATATTTTATTTAACTAATCCATAATCGAATTTTTTTATTAAGCTAAGGTGATCACAAAATAGTATTTGTTCTAAATACTTTCAACCATTTGACAATTAACACTCAATCACCTTATTGCAGCCGTTGATACTCGAACCCGTGACTTTTAGGAACAACAATGATTATTTTAACCACTGAGGTAAGTTGACTCTGTCCCATCACTGAATAATTACAAATATATTTTTTTATGTATTTATATATATTAGTTAGATTTTAATATATGTAAAAGATATTAAAATTATGAAATTAAATTTTATTTTTTATTATTAAATTAAATAAATTAATATTTATTTGATTATTTTTTATTTTAATAAAAATTATGTAAAAGATAAAAATTAAGTTAATTAGATTGGATTGGATTGAAGTTGAACTTCCAATTAAAATCTTAAGTAAGATCTAGGATGGGTATAAATATTTTTAAACTCGAATTGAATTTTATTTTGTTAGTATCTGAATATATTTGAATGGGTAAAAATCTAATATACCCAAAATGTAATTACACAATAATAATAGATTTAACGAATTTGACATTGCTTTTAAATATTGCGTTTGAAAAGTGATTTTACAGAATACTTTTAAAAGTGATTTTGAAAAAGTTAAATTCAATGATTTCAGTGTTTGGTATTGTTATTAAAAAATGTTTTTAATAAAATAAAATATCTCTTTTAGATATTATATTGTAAATTAATAATATATTAATTTAAATAAATTTAAAATTATTTATGTTTTAATGTATCAAATTAAATTATAAAAAATACGAATGATAAATATAACTATCATAAAAATATAAAATTAATTTTAGAAAACAATTTCCTAGACAAAATGTAATTAGTATATAATCAATACATAATTTATAAAAATAATTGAATTTTTGTTGTTTTGGATAAAGGAGTGGAGCCCATACCTCAGAGTAAGGATAAAAACATAACTTTAATCCTAAACGAAAATTTAAACAGAAAAACTAAAACCTCTCTTCCTTTGTATCTTTCTTTGTGACAGTCACCATTCTCTTGGGCGGTTTTCAAATTTGATGCGTTCATAGCAGCGGTGATGGTCCTCTTCGACCACCACCATGTCATTTTTAATTATATTTTATTTAATTTAGTATAATAATACTCTGGGCTCTTTCTCTAATAAAGGATATCATGATTACCGACGATTTTAGACTTTCGGTACAAGATTTTTATTGGTTTTCTTCTCAATTTTTCTTACATGCATGATTGTTGCTTTCCCGTGGTATAGTACCTCTGTTCAGTTGTACAAGACAATTCGTTGGTGATTGCATATATGTGTCGTATGAGATTGTTTTTAATGGGAGATCGCTTTGTTCGTTGACCTTTTTGGCTCTTCTTCAAGTTTTATCTCCTCCATGTTTAATGCTCGGAGCCATTGGTGAGTTCAATCTATGTATGTCGTTGCTTCACTTGTTAATAGTTTTGTTTATAGACTATCTCTAAGCATTCATTGTTATATTTTATTTTCGATAGTTTCAACTGTATTTATTTAATCTATAATTGACAAGACGTTTGTTGATACAATTTTCGATAAATGAAATTTCCTGATTATTTAAAAAGAAAAACTAAAAAATATACCTTTTACGGTTAATTTAAAACTACCGTTCTAAATACACTTTTATTTTTAAATTTTACATTTAATAATAATATTACTTTTAAAATCTGACATTTAGACCAAAAAGTAAATTTTCAAATCCGAATTTTGTCAACTAAAAAAGTCTCAAGTTGTGCGTATGAAAGCCAAAATTGTCTGCACGAGCCGATGACTTTCATCTTATATTGCCCTCCCTGCACTGTAGTTTTTTTTACGTAAATGATTAGAAAATGTGATATTCTACTTAGGGTTGTGCAAAAAGATTTGATTTGGTCAATTCCATTCGTCGATCTGATCTGATTTTTTATTTTCAAATAATTTAATTTTGATATTTGAATTTTTTTAGGATAATTAGATTGGATATGAATAAAATCCACTTTCAGATTATCCGAAAATCCGAAAAAATTGGACCTTTAAATTTTAGATACATTTAACTCAATAAATGAGTAACTCACTAACCCATTAAAACCCTAATTCAATAAAAATTAGAGTATTTAATTATTTATTGTGTGTAGTAATTAAATATATATATATATATATATATATATATATAATATAGTAGAAGTATCATATATGTATATATATATATATATATAAACAATAAATCACAAAATTTAAAATTTTAAAATTAATTTTTGTCAAATTAAATTTTATATCCGGATTTGGATATCCGGTTATCTGATCTGAAAAATTCGGATATCCGAAATCGGATACGGATCACTATTTTAAGTATATAAAATTTTCGGATATTTAAATTTTCGGATTGGATCGGATCCGATATCCGGCTTTGCACACCCTTAATTTCACTAATGTTTTTGCCTTTTTTGACATTATAAATTAAAAAAAAACACACACACACGCATATTAACAAACAGGATTTACTTTAAGACTTGAAATAGGATTGTTCTATCATGTGATGGTCAAGTTAGTTTAAGATGATTTTTAATGTAAAATATTATTTTGTTCAATAAAAAAGTTATGTATATTGTAACATTATCAGTTGACGGGATGTCTAAGGTACGACAATCTTAATATACGGTTAAGAAAATGCACTATTGAAAATATTAATATTTTTTTAACCGGTAAAGCGTTACCTAAAACATTATTTTTTAAATCGGAAATGTTAATATTGTGAGTTACCTAAAATGTTATTTTTTTACCGAAAATCAGGCAACGAAATTAACATTTTCGATAAAAAATAATATTTTAGATAACGTTTTACCGGAAATATTAAAAAAATTTTAATATTTCCGATAAAATATTTTTTAACCGTATATTAAAGTTGGTGTACAACAAAACTACCATCAGTTGAGATCGAAAAAGTTACACTTTGAAATTTAAAACTTCCAACGTACAATCTGTCTGACCTAAAAATTATGTTTTTAATAAACTTTTTTTTTATCATAACCGAATTTTACCATTTTTGATCTCATATTGACATTTTAGAATTTTCGCTTGAAATAGGAACACCGATTATTAAAGACAGAATCAGATACCCATTGAAGAAAGCACCATTGGAGGCATATATTCAAGGTTTGGGACAGCTGCATGTTACTTTTCCAGAGAATCATACCTGTTTTGTTGCTTCAAAGGTAAATTCATTGAGTTTAAAAAAAAATGCAAATTCATAGAATTGGAGTGATCCTAGTGATGAAAGAAATGTTCTCAGATGATCCGATTTCAAGCAGCTTTATCTATAGGCATGTATGAGTTTACTCATGCTTTATCTGTAGGCGCGTACGAGTTTACTCATGTTTAAAACCGAACACAACACGGATACTACGTTATAATCATATTATAAACTTCAAAGAAAATGTAAATTCATAGATCAGTATAAAATCAATGTCTTGGACAAGAGATTAAATTCCATTAACAAGTAAGTTACTGAAGTTCACTTCCTTGAACAAAGTTATTAACTGGATCAGAGATGAGAAAAGAATCATCTTACTACAACAAAAGTAACCCTCCCTCAATCAATTCTTGTATTTTCTGTTATTTTTCCAACTTGTTTTGGACAGACTGTAGATATGATGTCTCAAGTAGAAACGCAGGAGTTTGTTATTTGATATTCATTTGTTTATGGTTAATTTCCTCAAGGAATTGCAGAAAATCGAGTTCTTTGCTACTCTTACTGGTTTAAATAAGCTTCCCAACCGTCTTTTCGTAGCTTGTCGGCTTTTGACAAGACAAAGTCCCTCGTGTCTTCTTGATACTGATTCATTCTGGCAATAAGTTCACCGCAAAACGCAGGTCAAAATTAGGATTCGCAAAGTTTCAAGCTCGAACACATCCGTCTTTTAGTTATATAACGAGAGAACGGAACCTACCTTGTCCATAGATCAGTATCACCGGCTCCCAAAATCCTTACCGCCAGCAATCCTGCATTTGTTGCATTGTTTACAGCAACCGTCGCGACCGGAACACCCCTTGGCATCTGTATCATTAAAACGAGTATAAACGTCCAGCGTTCGGGAAATGTAAATGTCGAGTACAGGTTTGAGCGTACCTGCACGATTGATAAGAGCGAATCTATTCCGTCCAGTGTAGAAGCACGAACTGGAACACCGATAACAGGTAAAGGTGTAAGTGCAGCTACCATACCTGTAATTCAAAACAGACCTTACTAATATCACTAACATAGCTGATGCATGTAGGATAATGATGTTAAACAACCGTTTTATGTATAACTAGCCTGGTAAGTGAGCTGCACCACCAGCACCGGCGATGATAACCTGAATGCCTCGCTCCCGAGCGGAGCAGGCATAAGTGTACATCAGTTCAGGGGTCCTGTGTGCCGAAACAATCCGAACCTGCAAGTAAATTAATCAGTGGAATCAAAGTGGAAATGCCTCATTAGAAATGAAAATTCCAAGCTATAAAAAAATGCGACCTCATTAGACACCCCGAACATATTTAGGATTCTTGCTGCATCCTTCATAACTGAAAGATCAGAATCCGAACCCATCACAATCCCAACACGTGGTGCAACTGCATTTAGCGACAAAAAGAGAGCAATCCGTCAGTAAAGCCAACCAACGGTAGTTTCAAATCTCTACACATTTCAGTTTCAGTTGTGTCTGCATATTTCTGACTGGACGAAACAAACTGACAACAAAATTGAAGTTCAAGCATAACTCTAGCCAGCTGACCTTCATTCGGATTTTCATAACCTTCTTCCTTCAGCATCGATTTCAGCCGTGCTTCTAAAACACCAACAGAAGTGCCAACAAGAGTTATATGACCCATCTTCCTTTGCTTTCTCATATCTGGGGTGGCAGGGAAATCATGTCAAGCAATTAACAAGACCAATACGAGAAAGGGGGAAAAAGACGAAGGGTATTGTAAGCCTGAGGAAACTCGAAGCAGACCTAACCTGGCTTATCGTACCAATGAACAGTAGCCCCTGGAATCTCCAGTGCCCTGGCTATTGTTTGATTTGCCATTTTGAAACCTGGCTCCCCCTGAAACCATACAATTTTTAGTGCAACTCAAATATGAGAAACACAAAAGTGGAAAGGTGCGGGAGTTATCAGAAAAGAAGAGAAGGAACTTACATCATCCTCACCCAGTAAATTGTACATGATAGCAGCTGGAGTTTTCATGGATGTATTACCGAGAGGGAGACCGACAACAGCCCGCAAATGCTGTTCATACTGTGATGTATAACAGGACTCAATCGTGTGATGGCCACTATTATGAGGTCTTGGAGCTACTTCATTCAGTAGAATCTAGTTGAAACGAAAACAGGTCAGTGAAAGGCATAAATTGCTGAATTATTGCTGGCCATCTAGGAGTCGAATTAGACACTCGTAAAGACAGCAGATGTACACCTGACCGTCCATCGTCAAAAACAACTCCACTGCAAAGACACCAGCCCCTTCTAACGAACTCATAGCTTTGTGTGCAACATCGTTGGCAAGTTTTCTGACCCTCCATGGCACATCAGCAGGTGCCTTAACAATATGACATACGTTTTCCCTAAAAAAATCACAAATTCATAGTAGTAGTTCATATTCAATGATGAGCAGATGTTAGTAAAGTCACAAAATGCTTAATTATCATAATGAGATAAGGTAAAGTGACAAAAAGAAAAAGAGAAAGAAAACCGAATGTCTTACTTGTGAATAGTTTCGACAACCGGATAACAGAGGATAGAGCTATCTCTTCCTCTTGCTACTATGACAGCCAACTCCTAAAAGCAATATCAGTTCAATTAAGAACATTATCTATATCCAAATAGCAATTATCTCTTTCTCTCTCTCTCTCTCTATATATATATATATCAGGCAGTTTGGAGCATACTTTATCGAGAAAGTGAGCATGAAGATGTCAAAAATACATAAATGAAACAATGGAAAAAGGATAATAAAAAAGCCAATAGCACATTCAGACACCCACCTTTACGAAAGGAGCCCATTTCTCAACATACAAACCACGGCCAAATCCACCAAGAGCTGCAGTAAAGATGAAAAATCTTTAAACCAGAAAAGTGAGTTATTAGTTTTATACTCACATTTACAAACTGATTATGGGTCAAAATTAGATACTAATAAAGAAAAGGAAAGAAAACAAGACCACTTCTCGAGTCTCAAGTGAAAACCATCATGAAAACATCTACATCAAACTATAAGAGCTCTTCCGTAGAGATTGATACAATCAACATATATACAAATTAAAGCTGAGATGAGATCCACCAGACTTGGAATGGAGTCACAACAAGGATTTTAGTTTCTGACAAATATTTAGATATCCCACGACTTCAAAAAGAAATTTAAAGTGATTATGAATTAAGGGAAAAAAAAAACACTAAAACATCCGTTCTCGTAGCATGTCCGTTACCATCTATGGCAGAAGAAAGCTCCTCTTCACTCTTTGCCACAGCATTTCCTCGCCCATCATAGGCTAATCTCTTGCTCTTAATCATAAGAGGATAGCTAAATTGTACACCTGCTTTCTTGGCTCCTTCTAGATCATCAATCTGTTTTATCAGTACAGAGAAATAAATATATCCATGCAATTTTTAATGAAATTTAAAACAATAAAATGATCTTAAAGAAAAAAGAACACAACCTCCATAAACTCAGGAAGTGGAATATCATGCCTTGAAAAATGAACTTTCTGGAGATATTTATCCTGTAAGAAAATAAATCCAGCACAATAATTAATCATTAAAAATATAATCATGCTTCGCATCAATTCAAGAATTAAAAGAAAAAGAAAATTGATGCAGTTTATAACAAACATTTGTACAGCTCACAAGTAAACAAGCCTAAGGAAAATACTTGGATAATTCGAATGGTAGAAGCTCTAGGTTCACAATCCACTCCCTGTTGTTCAAGCTTCTCAAGAGTGGAGGCATCGACATGTTCGATTTCGACTGTCAAAACTCCACATCTAACTACCAAGAAACAGATTATGAATGTAAATATTCTATTTAGAACAAATAAAGGCGACGTTTTGGATTTTCGGTATCGAATTTGGACCTTTTGGCAAATTCTTGAACAGTATCACTGTCATCAAAGCTGCCCACCATGTGATCATAAGCAACGGCACTGGCTGGGCAATTCTCTGAAGGGTCCAAAACCATGACTTTAATGGCCATCTTGGAAGCAGCTTGGCATAACATACGACCCAATTGGCCTCCTCCTAATACACCAACAATCGTTTCGGATAATCCATGAACCAGATGAGCATCATCCTTCCTACAAAGAAGAAAAAAAGAACACTTGAACGTAAATAATTCATAAAAACAAAAAAGACCCAAAATTTATGTTCTTTTTGCATAAAGGGAAAAAAGTGATGAATTGAAAAATTATTTAACAGAACAAAATAAAACCTGCAAGAGGAGTCAGTCTCGTGAGAGTCACGTGAGGCGCGACAAGCGAGGATGGGAACGGAGAGCTTTGAAGACGAAGAAGAGTGTCGGAGGCGACGGTAGCGGTGGTGGGTCATGACGGCGGCGTCGAACTTAAAGAAGAAGCCGAATGAGGGAGGTGTTGCTGGCTGAGAACTAAACTGAGATGGCCTGAAAGCAAAAACTGGTTCCGTGGAGCTCGAAAACACTGCCATTGAGCTTTGTTGAAGCATTATTTTCTGTCACTTTCTCGGGAAAATTGAGAGGCTGCAAGTTTTGGCTCCAATGGAGAACGGCGACTACTGCTTTCCCTTCCTTCCCCACCCTCTTTCCTTTGGGATTTTTTGTTTTTTGAAACTAAGCAATGGAGAAAATCATTTATATACCATGTTTTATTGAATAATGATGAATTACTTTAATATTATCCATAAATTAAATAATGAAAAATACATTTTAAGTCTTATTTTTAAAATTATTATTTTTTGTTTATAAAGGTGAAAATGTAATAAAAATGAAAATTATGATGTTTAATTTAGTATATACTATGTGTGAGGTCAAACTTTGGCATGAATTTAGCAACAAATTCTCTATTTTGGTTAAGTTATGCTATTTTATTATTTATTTTAAATTTATATTTAGTGAATTAAATAAACCTACAAACGACCCGGCTTTTTCTCTGCTCTAATACAAATTTGATGGAGTATTTATCTTTCAAATTATATCATTTTAAATTACTCTTTAGACTTTAAATATTAGAAAAATTATTCTTACAAGTAACTAATACTTTAAATGTTAAAATAATGATTTTTTATTATTCATTTTATTGAATAATTGATTATATTTACGAGGTTTGTTGATGAGTGTGTTTTATTTAATACACGCGTAAACCTGATCTATTCATCAACACCTATAATCATTAATATTAGGCTTAACCAAAATAAATATCTAAATTATATCCTAAGTTAATTTTAGACATTTAATTTTTTTAAAAAATAGGTGTGATATTTTTTTTGTTATATTTTTAGGTGTCTAATATTTTCTCCGTTACACTTTTAGATATCTATGCAATAATATCCATTAAAATTTTTTAAGTGACATGTTAATATTTATATTTTTGCTTAATACAAAAATAAATACTCAAACTGTTATTCTAAGTTAACTTTATATGTCTAAAGAATTTTTCGTTACAAATAATTACCTAATGTTTTTTCTCTAATAGTTTTAGGTGCCTACATTGTAATAGTCATTAAATTCGATCGTTATCTGACATGTGTCGTGATATATATTTTTATTAAATTTCTTTTTTTAATTAAAATATTATATTTTAAAACATATTTTTTAAGAAAAAAATCCCTCCTCACCCTCCCTCCCCAGTTGCATTCAGAATCCCTCTATATCACCCCTGTAAATTCCTAAAGTTAACTTAAGATGAGAATGATAAATTTGATACTATAGGAATTTGGGTATTAGTTTTAGGGATTTAAGTTTGGATTTATGGATTTAGACGAATTGGGATGATGACCAGACAGATGGTTGGTAGTGGAGGTCAAACGATAGGTGAGTGATCGTTCACCGATGACAAAAATAATCGATTATGACTGACAACAAGTGGTAATGGAGTTCGAATGAGAGATTTTAGAATTGCAGTTTTTTTAATTTAAAGAAAATATTTTTAAATTAATAATGTTATTAAGTTTTTTAAAAATAAAAATTTCAAAAAAAATAAACATGACACATGTTACTTTATATTTTTTTAACAATTGTTACTGCGTAGGCACTTAAAAATATAACGGAAAAAATGTTAGTCACTCATTTTTAATGAAAAATTCTTTCGTCGGCACCTAAAGTTAACTTAAAGTATAATTCAAACACTTATTTTTTTTATTAAGCCAAAATATAAAGAGAAAATACTTCAGTGACTGAAAATGCCTTATAATATACGATTTTAACTAATTTTTTTGGATTTGTGAAAATAACCAACAAATTCGCAACGCGAGCTCCAATTTCGCAACGCTAATTACCGATATAAGTAAACACAACTATTCGCAACTCAGTTTTCAAATTCGCAACGCGATTCTCCAAATTCGCAACGCGATTCTCAAATTCGTAACGCTAATTACCGATATAGGTAAACACAACTATTTGCAACTCAGTTTTCAAATTCGCAACGCTAATTGCCGATATAGATAACACAACTATTCACAACTCAGTTTTCAAATTCGCAACGAGATTTTTTACTAATCAAAATTCTACGTGTGACCCTCATATTGAACTAAAAAAATCTTCTAATCATATTGAACAAATTGTGATTAGTTACTCACTTTTAAAATTGACAAAGATCAAAGTATTATTTACTCACGATTTTTCTTTAAGAGGCGATATTTTACATTTCACAACATGAATTTGCCAAATTCGCAACTCAGTTTTCAAATTGTCGAATTCGGATTTTTTATCGGATTTTTTCTACCGAGTTTACCTATATCGGTAATTCACGTTGCGAAAACGAAATTCGCGTTGCGAATTTGGAGAATTGCGTTGCGATTGAAAACTGAGTGGCGAATAGTTGTGTTTACCTATATCGGTAATTAGCGTTGCGAAAACGAAAATCGCATTGCGAATTTGAGAATCACGTTGCGAATTTGGAAACTGTGTTGCGAAATTTGAGATCGCGTTGCGAATTTGTTGGTTATTTTCGCAAATCCAAAAAAAGTTTGTTAAAATCGTATATTATAAGGTATTTTCGGTCACTGAAGTTATTTTCTCAAATATAAATATGACATATTTCATTTAATGGTTTTTTAACGGTTGTTAATGTACAATCATCTAAAATTTTAACAAAAAAAATATTAGATATCTAAAAGTACAATGACAAATATGTTAGACACCTATTATTTAATGAATTTTTTTTAGAGATCTAAAATTAAGTTATGATATAATTTATTTTTGCATTAAGCTTAATATTAAACATTTAATTTAATTCTTTTAATAGTAGCTAAGCAAAATAAATTATAGTTTTGAACCCGCCTAAAAGTTAATTGTTTAATTTAAGTCTATATACTCCAATTTTATTACTTTTAGTCCCTATATTTTTTTAGTTTTAAAATTCTAATCTTAACTCAAACATTAACCAACAAATTCATTAAATCAAATTCCACTATTAGTATCATACGTGTATGTAAGTTGTGGATTTAAATTTGGCTTAAATATATAAAAGGTGTCCAATCTGTTTCCCTTTTCTCAGTTTAGTATCTTACATTTATTTCGTTCCAGTTTAGTGTCTAATGTTTCATTCTATTACTCAAAATAGGTCAAACTCTTACGGACTATTAAATTTGACCGTTAACCTATTAAAAATGCCACATAACATTTTTTAATATTAAAAAAATAATTTCTGAAAAATAAGAAATTAATTAAAATATATTAATTGAAAAATTAAGCCTTTTGTATTTTTACTCATTAACCCTGAAAAATCAGTTTCCCTCTCTTCCCCTTCACTCTCTACCCATTCCTTATGAAAATTTGTTCAGTTCAAAGAATACCCAATTAGGTTTAGCTGTTTTTGTGCAAACCCCATTGTGACAAGGAAGGAGCTTGGTACTTGGATCATGAAGACCTGATTCACATTTTTTTTTTGGTATTTTATACATGAAAACTCTTGATTTCTCTCTCATCAAATCACTTGCTTGAATCTGATATTCATAGGCTATTATATTTTCGGATCGTGATTTGAAACCCTGCCTAGGAAGAAGCTGTTCCCCAATAATTCTGAGTTACCAGGTACATTCATGATTCATGTTGTTTATTGCATCAGCCATTTGCGAAGAGAGTGAAGGGGAAGATACATATACAGAAATTGATTTAGGGTTTAAATTTTCAATTAATCTATTTTAATTAATTTCTTATTTTCAGAAATCATTTTTTAATATTAAAAAAAATATGTTAGATGACATTTTTAATGGTTTAACGGCTAAACTTAACGGTTCGTTACGGCTTGACTTATTTTGAGAACGGAATGAAACGTTAGATACCAAACTGAAATGAAATAAACGTTAGATACTAGACTGAAAAAACAAGCATAGATTAGACACATTTTGAATACTTAAGCCTTTAAATTACTATCTCCAAATTTGTTCATCTTTAGCCATTTTTAACTTAATCATATTGTTTTTGTATCTTCTTAGTCAAGATTGGATTAGACCAAATTCGAGTATAGGGATTAAATCCAAAACTTATGCAAAGTTAGGCACTGATGGCAGAATTTGACCAATGCAAAAACATCACAATCAAAAAACAAACTTGGAATTGCTGTCTATTCTAATCTACAACATTATTGGGTTGATTTCATCATCACGACCTTGTACAAAACCCAATCACTCAAATCAAACCACTAATTTTAGCTAAAAATCCAATGATTTTGGGTTAATTAAGGAGATGAAAATCAAAGTACTCACCTGTATAGTGTTTTTAAGTTAGGCCTCAAGCATTGAGTTTTTAATGGAACCCTTGTTCATGTCCGGAAAATGGATTCTTCATGGTGACCTTGTTCGTGTCCTTGAATGACATCTCCATTTCTTCGACCATGGCGCCGGTGTTAGTTTTTTCGGTAACTTGATCTGTACGTAAGCTTGCCTTTTCTTCAATGCCATTAGCTTGCCTTGATGGCTTGATCTGTACGTAAGCTCGCCTTTTCTTCAATACCATTAATTGCATAAGAATCAGATGCTTCTAGAGCATCACCAGTTATAGATATCCTCGGATTTGCAGCGATCCGAGGACTTGCAGTGTTAATCGATTGCTCCATCCCTCGAGAAAATAATTGTGACAATAAGACCTTTAGATCCTCACTAAGCCTAGAAGAATTTCCCCATTACATTGTTCAACAAGCAATCCAGATATTTGTCTTCCTTTACTACCTACCGCTAGCTCATAAGCATCTGTTATATGATACATGAGATGAAGGATCGGGCCGGATTTTTCTCTGATGTGTAGCTTTAACCGAAACAGACACATTGCCCTTCTGCTCTGCTCATACTTACCATGTTCAATGGAAACCGGTAAAGATATATCGAATTCAGAGGCTGGAAACTCAGTCGATCGTGTTCGCGTCAATGTCTTGGCATATTCTTTTGGCATCCTTGGCTCATTTGCAACGAGAACAGCGTCTTTGAGTCAAGCATCCAACTTTATGATTCTCAGGGGAAGGATCCTCCTCGAGACTACAATCGAAATCATCCCCCAACTTACCGGCCAACAATCGGTAGGTTTCGACATTCGACTTATTTATTGTACCAATGAGAAAAGGCAACTTTCACAGATTCCTTGATCATGAGCGTGACAGTAAACAAAGGATTTCTAGCATTTTGAGGCTGGAACAAACATTAGTTGGGGCCTCAAAAGAATCTTAAAACTGAGACCTACTGCTGTTCCTTTAATTGCTTCTGGTTTTATGCGAACTAAGGAAATCTGCGAGCACATTCGGATGCCAGTGCAGAAGGTTATGTGGCAACAACTAATATGGTATCCTATGCATATTCCTAAGCATAGTTTAATTGCTTGGATGGCCATTTTGAATAGATTACCTGCCAGAGATCGTCTTCAAAAAATGGGAATTTGCTCAGATGGACTTTGTTTAAATTGTAACACTCATCAAGAAACTAGAGATCATCTATTCTATCATTGCTCCTTGGCTGCTGGTATATGGAAATCAATTCTTATAAAGAATGGAATGAACTATTCTACTTTGACTTGGGATGATATGGTAACTCGTGCTTGTTCTTCTTGGAAAGAAAAGTCCCTCTTAACCACTATTTTGAAGATTTCTTGGAATGCATTCATCTACTTCGTGTGGCAAGAAAGGAACCAGAGATTATTTCAAGGCCAGATTATTTCAAGGCCGTATCCGCTCTACTGACGTTATTCTTAAAGAAATTGTTGATGTGGTTGCAATTCGTCTTAGGGGCAAGATCATAAATCGACTAGATAGAACTAACTTATTTCTTTGTAATGCTTGGGGTATAGTCTAGCCAATCATTGGTTGTGTAATTAGACTGTTTTTGTTTTGTTGATTGGTTGATTGGTTGTTGCTAAACCTTATTATTTTGGGTAATAAAAATCTGAATTATCCAAAAAAAAAAACATGATATGGTCTTGAGCATAGCAAACACAGTGTTCGCAATTCGCATTTATAAGCAATTTTTTTATTAGGAACGGAACTATAGCGTCGAGAACAGATCAACAGAGACGAGAGAAAAGATCGAAGAAGAAGAAGAAGATAAAACTTTCAGCAAAGTAACACAAAGTAATTGCAACTCGTATGCCTAAGAATACGTCATCGGAGACATGCATCAATGACATAAAATGCTCTGCAACAACATCATGCATGATGTCTCTATGCATGATGTATGCATGAAACAGATAGTGAATAAACAGAAATCTAAAACAGGATAAATATTAAATAGCCATAATTGCCAACAATAGTTCTCAAGAACAAATTAATGACATTATTAAATCGAGCATTCTTTTTTCTTTTTAATGGTATCAAGCGATTACAATGTAATATTTGTTTATAATATTCGTCTGCTCGAAACCGAACAGCACTTTAAAGAGAGCATTCTTACAAAGCAAGTGGACAGCTAATTACAAATAGAACAAACCATTTACTTGCAAAGCTAATACCTCATAAATACAAACATATAAAGAACAAAGCGAGAATCATATTGCACAGATGTACATACCCTAAGTTTTATAGCAGCAATTTAACTTGAACTAGAAAAATATCAGAACTTTATATTCGTGTTGCACATGTTGCTCTGAAATGTCGTGTCTGAATGCAACGGCTACAATGCACAACTCGCTTCTCGTGGCCACGATCTTCTGCTCGAACTCGATTCTTTCATGGTCGATCGGGTGAATGATAACTTGAACGGCTTGGCTGGCATCTGGGATCCGCTTAATGGTTTGAGAATATGCCTTCCGGTATGTTGCTATAGTGAAACAGCTCTCAGTAAATTGATGAACATTCTGCCTGCAAGAGAGAAGTGCTTCCACAGCATGCGCAGAGGGCAAACCGTACAACTGCCAACCACGGAAAAGGCAACAGCGATTCCAAATGTCGACGGTATTTAAGTACTGAAATAGAACTCGACACTCACACATGACCGACCGGTTTGATACGAGTAGGACTTAAACAAGCAAAGTACATTTCTTAGAGTGCAGAAAGGGTAGAAACAACAGATAGCATGATTATCAAGCAGGTATACCAAATAAATTCCTCCAAATCCATTGACTACAGACGTTGCCGACGGCGACCGGGCAATCCTGAAGAATGTATCGAATCGGTGCCCATTAAAACCTGAATAAGGTTTATAAAGCCAGGAATGCTTTAAAACCCAAGGCATCTGTGTATTAGGAAACTAAAAAAATGACATAAATTTTGAATGCAGAAACGTAAAGTGTCTCTATGTCATGTATGATATCCACATCTCTTTTCATGCCATGTAATCCTGGACACCAACTTCAACTTACTAAATCCATTGTTAAAACCAACCGGCCATATCAAGTCGAACAATCCAATTCAAATAATCATGGAATGCACATCGATTCGAATAAACTCGGCCGGATAAATTCGATTCACACCGTTCATGGAAACGACAGAAAAAATATCACATTACTTTGTGACAGCAAAAAGTACACTACTGAGACGTAAATATAATGAGAAAAGCTTTCAAAGCTTGGAACCATTTGAAAGCTCTGGATTGAGCGTTTGATATGAAGGATCAAACCTCATATACCATATCCAAATAAGTTTTTGGCACGCGTAAGACACCAATACATTAGAAAAGAACGAAAAATCCGGGTGAGATCGACTATACAATCATCGGTTTTCGTGTTAACAACGAAAATACAAGTTCAAAAAGAAACAATGTAATAGATCCCTCCACACTTGAAGAGAACAGAGAGAAGCATACAACTGGAAACTGCTCATTCTTATATCATTCTATAAAAGCTGCCTCTAATCCACAAGTTTCAATCAATACCTACCTATACTCCTGCTAGTAAGCACTATCAAGGACCAAGGTAGAGACACATAACGTAGAATTCGAACATCGAACTACAACAATGAATATCAAATATTTTCCTGCACTAAAGTTGTCATTCCTTGTTTTTGGAATTCGTCTCCGGTGCCACATTGGAAGCGTTCATCAGCAAGTCAAACTTGTCCGACTTCCCCAACACGATTTCGATCTGGAACAATGAGCAAGTAGAGATCAGAATGAAATCAGTTACCAAATCCAGAGGTAAACTATATGTAATTTAAGAATATAAACCCCACCTTGGCTTTTAGGCCAACACGCCCTTTGTTCTTGTCTTTCATGCTGACCGTTGATGTCGAAACTTCTGCTTCGTTCCATAAACAATCAATATCAAATTATACATGCTTGATGAGAAAAGGAAAAAGACTCTTACTCTTCTCAATAGCCAATCCATTGTTCTTCAAGATCTCAGCAATGGTGACAACAGTAGTGATTGCTGCATTACAAGTTTGTGGGGGGAAATCAGGAAGCGTTATGACAATGAATCGATTTCATAGGCAATGAACAACCAGATGGACATTGAAGCACCAAAACAGGTAAAAATATTAGGAAATCAATTATTTGCAACTAAGAAACAAAACTGAGAAATGTACCCATGCCCAAGGCAGAAAGCTCAACCTCATTATGCTGCTGAATGTATCTCTGCATCCAAAGGAAACAAAACCGAAACATGAAGCAAAGCTTGACCATGATCATAAAACTTCACATTTAATTGCTTGGAAATAATAAAAGTTCTATCTTTGAAGTTACATTTAGATCTATAACCTCAGATTTATTACAAACATTTGCAGGACAAATGATCATAATCAGCCTCGAAATCTTCAATGACCTCAAGATTTGACATATTAAAGAAGACCCAAAGCCAAGATCAGTCAAAAACATGATCTTGTGTGAAAAAAAAAATCCGAGATAAAAAAAGGCTTACTTTGGCAAGATTAACATAGAAAAAAAGAGGGTTTTTAGTGTTGGACACTTGAATTCTGTTCTTCTTATGTGCCTCTAGTCCTCCAATGGCAGCCACTGCCTCTACACCCATTATTGTCTTTTCTCAGACTAATCCTCCTCGAATTCTTTGATTCTGATTTCTTTTCTTTCTGTTTATTCCACTAATCTCTCATATTTTCTTGATTTCTTTATCTTGTTTTGTGTAGCGGGAAACTTGGGGGAAGAAAATACCGTTAAGGGATGGTGGTTATATAGGGTGACAAATGGGCCAATGAGAATTGAACGCGTGGTGAGATTCTATTGGTCGTGGACAAGGTAAGAGAGAAAGCTGGGGTTTCTTTAATGAAAGTAAATGAAGTATTTAACGGATAAATCCGCAGTTACACCTTCGAATAATAATAATAATAATAATAATAATAATAATAATAACAATAACAATAAGAGTTAATACATTTTTTTATTTAGGTGTTTAAATTATTTTAAACCCTAAAATCCTTGAATTTTTTTTGAACAATCGACATTTTTATTTTTGAACAATCTTTTCTCTCCTTTATGAGAAATTATTATCCGAACAATTAATCGAGCTCCTAATAGATCAATTAATATTATTTCAAATCGAAATTTTATCTTTCGAACTATATCGAAAATCTATAAAATCTCGACAAAATTGAAAACATTTTGAGGTTACCTAAAAACACAAACTACTCTAAATCTTTGTTTCATTTGGTCCATGGAAATATTGTGAATGTAGGCATTGGTCCCCCAATATTGATGGGGATCATATAGAAAATGTGCCCAAATTCGTATGCTTAAATCACTTTGCATTGACCACGGAGAGCTACTAAACTCGGATATGCATCAAGTCTTTGCAACGTATCAAGCACGCACTTCCCAGTCACCTACATATCTACCATATTCAACGCTTTCTAAATCTATACATTAATTTTAAATGAATATTCGATTTATATAAAATATTTAATATTATATCAACAACCAGTTAGTTTAGTGGGATAAGACACTAAATTCCTTAAGCAAGGTAAGAGATTCGAATCATGATGTTTGCGAATGAAGCAAACTGAGTAGGGAGGGTCACCCTTGCCTCTGCAATAACCGATCTGGATTAGTCGATCAATAGACTGAATACTAGTGATTAATTCAAAAAAATATTTAATATTATATAAACTAAATGGTGAATAAATTTGAATGATATCACGATTTGTTGATAATATATAAAAGGTTAAGATCCATTTACACAATGTAAAACTCTTTAGTTTTACATAGATTTAGAATCATTGAATGAGTGAAAATAGATGATTGAGATTGATTCTTGTTTTTTTTCCCCCAGTGAATATCTTCACTTTTCGTACTTTTAATCTCACACATATATTTTTATTTATCTAACGGTTCTAAATATGTGTATAAGTAAAAGAATTACATTGTGTAATAGGATCCTACCCTCTTTTACGTAAAATATATAATACGATGTACACTTTGAAATTCATTAGGGTAAACTTAAAGTTTCATTAGTTCATAATTAGGGTTAGTCATATTATAAATTATTTTCTCTTCACTTTGTATTATAAATTATATTTTCTTGGTTGATCCCTATTATCGTTTTCATCACATTTAATTTCTAAAATATTAAATAATTTAAACTGATAAGAAACGTAACACATTTTATGTTCCTATTAGAAGAAATCATGAACTAAACCTAATAGATGATATTTTAGATAAGTGTTTAATAGTCACAATTGTCTCAATCATATGGGGTTGAATCTCATTTAAAGGAGTAAACTTTTCCATCTTTGTTTTTTTTTCATCCATTACATTCTATACATATATCAAAGTCCTTACTTTTTTTAATAAAACCGATGTGGGTTTGACCCGTTTAATTGATTTCCCACTTTTTCAATGTCCATTGCTTATTTCTCTAAGATAAAACCGATGTGGGTTTGACCCGTTTAATTGGGTTCCACGCAACATTCAAAATAAACATGCGCATGAAAACAAGTTCCCATGAAAACGTGCACATGAAATACTTTCATTTTGTTTCAACCTTGGGATACAAAAAGGTTCCCATAGAAGACCCTGGAAGAGGGTTTATGGAATCACATGGCACATGAAATGAAACCTTAAAATACAACAAATATAAGGAATTTAAGACACTACTTTAGTATGCAAAGATACCTCCTTCACAAAAACAGAAAAAAGGAAAAGAGAAATGAAGATCCATGAAGCAGAGGAGATGAGTTAACCGAAAGAATTTGTTTATTAATTCTTTGATCAAATCAAAGAACCCTTCTGAGAAAAATGAAACGGAATGAAACCTTTTTGCAAGACTCCTTTGGGGGGGGGGGTGTCACAAACTTGAGAGAGCTAAAAGAACTCCACAAATGCAACACTTTTAGACCAAAATGAGAAAAACCCAGAATAAAAAAACCAAAAACCCAACACTTCATTTCTTAGAGAACCTTCAAATAATGATGAGCAACAATTAAACAAGAAAAAACAGCATCTGTTTGAACTTCTAGATCAAGGGTAACAATTGGGACTTCTATATTTTTCGTCGATCCAGTTTTACCAGAAGTTAGAGGAAAAACACCAAGCTCTGGAGGCCGAGAGACAGCAGTGTCAGGCCCCTAAGCAGGAAGAGCAAGAAGCAGAACTTAAGCAGCTGCGAAAGAGCTTGTTTGTCAAAACAAATCCGGTACCTCGTTTCTACTACGAAGGACCTCCACCCATGGTTGAACTGAAGAAGGTATTCTGTTGAACGAACCTTTTCTCCTCTTGAGGCCTTGTATTTTCATGCAGCTTTGGTGGATGATGATTGATGAAACATTTCATTCTTGCTTTTATTTCATTTCAGCTGCCATTAACTAGGCCAAAGTCACCAAAACTTACCCGAAGAAAGAACTGTGGCGATATGGTCCATCATCGGAGGAAGAAATGCCGCAAGCTTGCTGCGGGGGTCACTGCCACAGCTTCGGTAACCACAGGGAACGAACCGATCCTGCAAATGAGCTCAAAAGTAATGGTCAGAAAAATGGAGTGGTGAGTAATGGAGGTGGCAAGTTGAAAGACCGAGCAAAAAGAGTAAAGGATTCGACGAAATATTCTCCTACGAAGCTCGCCATTCAGTCACGAGCATCACGAGGACTCATAACCGGTGAAGTGGTCTTGAATTTCTCAAGATCCAACGGATGTCCTGGAAGGAATTCAGGCTGTTTTCTTGTCAGCAGCAATGATTTGTGTATTATTTTATTTTAAAAGAGGTAGTTTATGATTATGTGAAATGTATATGCTTTGTAAGTTATATTGTTACATATAATCTTTGTCATATATGAAGGTCATTGATTCATATTTGGACCAAATTCCATGTTTTCATCTGACGCTTCTTCTTTATGCTGCTCATATACCACTATAAAATATATATGTAACTTTAATTCTTATTTTTTTTTACTAAAATGTGCTCTTTAATTTAGTTTCTTAACTTTACATTTTATTCAATTTGGTCTTTTTTCTGTAATTGTTTGCAAATTCTTTCTTAATATCAATTCCTTAACCCCTTTATACTTTCATAATACTTTACCCTCAAAATATCTTCTTTAATAATTTTATATTATATTTGAAATGTTAAAAACATTATAATATGAAAAGCATATCAAGAATTATATATATATAATATATATATATATATATATATATATATATATATATATATATATATATATCTTATATGGTTAGAGAAAGCCAAAAAATTAGAATCGATTCATACTATAATCTTATAAATAATTACAATTAAATTTGTATACAAACTCGAACAATTCAACTAGTCTCAACTCGAATTTTATAAACAAGACTCGAAAAATTTTAAGTTAGATTCATGTCATAAAATATGACTTGTCAACTTGAATAATTCAAATTTTTTTGAATTCAAATCGATCGAATTCTTACCCTTAATTGTATTCGTGTTAACACAATCTAACAATTAAAAAAATAAAAAAATTATAAATCATAATTAATATTAACCATAAAGTTCTTGATAATGTGAAGAAACAATATATCATATTGGTTAGTTATTATTTTTATAAAAAATAATTTTAAATTTATTTTCAGTAAATGATTTAAGATAAGGCAAACATACATATTGTTTGTTAAGATTCGGTTAGGATTGTCATTGCTCTATCGATCAACTCAAACTGGTGCCAAGAGATGCTGAAGTGGCAAAATAAAAATTTTGGGAGCATTGAGAGAAAAGATAGATAATATGCACAATGATTTAGAGCGGTTCGACTTTCCAATCAAGTCTTCATCCACTACCTTAGCTCCACACTAAGGATTTATAACAAATTCATTAATTTGTTCTTCCTTTTTCTAGGCTCAAGAATAACCTTTTACATCTCCATTGTTTTCAATGGCTAAACCAAAACCAAACCCCTTTTACAATAGGATAAAGAAAATGTAAACAAGAAACCTCTCAAAGAAATGTGTTTACACAATTAAGCTCACTAAAAACACTTATGTACAAGAGAAAAGGAAAAATAAGAATGAAAGAGATTTTCTGTTGATGTGGATTGCTTAGATAGGTGTTGTGTCATTCTTCAAGTGTCCTCAAGTTGTTTCTATATGTTAGAACGGGTTTCTAGCTGTTTCTAACCCTTTGGAGATTAAAAATCTGCAAAATAAAACTGTCCAGACCATAGAGTTTCGGTACTCGGGTGAGGAGTATTGGTATTTCCTTTAAATAAACTAGTCATTTTATGACCATTGGGCTGAGAGTATCAATACTAGGGTTTACATATTGATACTACTATGTAAAGTTGTATCGATACTCATTTAAGTATTGGTGCCAATTTTGCATATTGGAATATGAACACATTTGAATACACTAGATAGAATCGATAATGTCATATGAGTATCAATATTTCTCTTACTTTTGGTATCAATACTATAAGAACAATATCGATATTGTTCATATGGTATCGATACTGTAAGAACAATCTCAATATCTCTTGCCCAGAAAATTATTTTGTGTTCAAATTCAAGTTTTATGGACTTTAAATTATTTTTGTAAACTTTGAATAAATTCAATTAAGTCCAAAAATATTTTGCCCTTAAATTTGTTATATCAAAATAGGTTCAACAATCTCCTCTTTT